TTAGGCTCAGAGCTGACTTTACCAGGATGTGGCCCTTTTTTCTGTGCCTCAGTTTCTTCCTCTGTCAAAAGGGGACCCTGACTCCCAGGATGTCAGCACCAAGGAGTGGTTACAAACAAGGATTCAGATCACAGGCCACCTGCCAGCTGAGTAACTTACCTCTGTGCCTCTTACCTTCCTCTAAGAATGGAAAAACGGGGCTAGCAAGAATAGCTACCTTATTAGGGCTGCTGGGAAGAGTGAGTGAGATAATGCACACTGGGTTAACTCAGCCAGGCACATAATAAAGGGATAAAAGGCTATTGGCTGTAAAAAGACAAAGCAGCAGTCAGCCCAGCCAGGTTGTGAAGGAGGAGCCTTCTTACTCTTGCTGGCTGAAAAGCTCTCAGTGTTTGGAGTGGACTTTAGAATCCTACGTCAGCTAGTTACTGATGGGTAATGAGGCCTGGGGCAAGTTCATTTGTTCTAAACATTCTGAATCCTCAATTTTCTCATCTGCAAGATGGGTCGCTAACAACGGTAGCCTCATGGGGTTATGCACAGCGGACTAGCCAGCAGGTAGGAATTACCTGGCACGTGGAAGGCCCTCAGGAAGTGCTAGTGTGTGTGTGTGTGTGTGTGTGTGTGTGTGTGTGTTTTAAAGTGGTGTTCACGGGTGTGCACCTGCCTCTTCCAGGCCAAACTAAGGAACACCTGGGAAGTGGCTAGAGCTGCTAGTCTCTATCCTTCTGCTCCCACTCGTAGGCCCTTGATCAGGGAGGAAGCTTGTGACAAGAGGATACCCTGGGGCAGGCTCTGAACAGGCAGTTTGCTAAGACTCAAGAGGCCAGCAGGCGGATAGAACAAGACGCTGTCCATCTCCTCTGCACGAGGATCTCCGTGAGCTGTTTGGAGACATTATTGCATTGGCTCCTCACCAGAATGCAGTGAGGTTTTTCTGAGGACCCTTGCCTTCCAGGTGGGGAGACAAAGTCCCCAGAGGGCCAAGGACTTGCCAAAAGCCAAGCAGTGCCTGTGTGGAGCCCACGCCAGAACCCAGGCTTGTCTGCCCAGTAAACTCCTAGCAAGGGCTCAGGAGAGGCTGCTGCATGTACAAGCAGCTGGGGAGGATAAGGAGGCTGCAGACTCACCTCCCGAGACTGGGCCTTCCAGACTCTGTTATATTCTGACTTGGGGTTCCTTCCCTCAGTTTCCAGACATGTTTCTTTGGGAAAATGTTGAAACTGCCTGGGTTAACCGAGGGAGGGAAGAGAATGGTCATACCACACACACTTGGCCAGGATGGCCAGACTGGCCAGAGAAGCCAACTGGTGGTGTGGCCTTCCCCACTGATAACTTTGGAGAAGCTGAAGTAACTGGGGATGGCAGAAAGGGGAACGTGCAAGACAGGGTTTGTGAGAGAAAGTCTCAAGTCCTGTATCCTTTCTGGCCAACCCTTTGGTCTTCTGCTTTTTTTTTTTTTTGCTCAGGCTGAGAAGGATTTTTGGACAGTGGGAAGATCGAGACCATTAAAATTAAATCTTAGTGTACAGGTAGGGAAACTGAAGCCCAGAGAAAGGAAGTAACCTATGCATAGTCACACAGTAAGCAAGGGCAAGAGCTGAGGCTCCCTTCCTTGTGTTCTGGGTATGTAGGCATGCGTTCATTTGTTCCTCCATTCATGGGTCCACCGAGTGCCTGTTATGTGACATATAAAGTCCTGGGTCAGTAACAGATAGGCCCCCTGCCCCCAGTGGAGCTGGCATACAAGTACAGAGCATTTTAGGACAAGAAGGGCTTCCATGGGATGCTCTGAGATGGCACGTAGGTGATGGTGCCATCTTTGGTCAGACCAGTGTGGGGGGAGGTGACATCTGAGATGAGACGTGAAGCGTGGAAGATGAGCTGGCCAGGAAGGAGCCGTGAGGGCAGAGGAATGGAAATGGCTGGACACTTGCCAGATGGTGGTTCTTTGTGTGGGTTGGTCAACAGTGTTCGGCCAGCCGACAGAGGAAAGGCCAGACTCACAGAAGACGAAGCAACATTAATGATCTACACAACCTCCTGAATGTGTGTTCTATCACAGAAAGCTTTGTCAGTTCAGTAATTCCAGTTAAAATACCAACATAATGTAATTATGCTTTTATAAGGTATACAAGAGTGATCTCTTACCTTGGTGTCAGTTTTTCAATAAAGTTTTGATTATGCCCCCCCAACCCCGCAAAAAAGGTAGGAAAACACTTGGAGTATTTGAGGAACCAAGAAGTAAATAAGCCACAGAGAGTGAGAGGGAGAAGGGACCAGGAGAGTTCTGAGAAGTGGGCCTTGATTTCGTGGTAAGGACTTTGGGTCTTATTCTAAGAGATCAGTTTTTGCCTATGTGAGGCAGAGCAGAAAGCATGAGCACTAAATCAGAGTGAAACCATCTCTGAGGGGTCACGGAGATGGAGAGAATTGTGCACAGGACGTAGGAGGTGACTGGATCATTCTAATGCTAGAATGTGGGCAAGGGCAGGAGAAGAGAGTTGAGGACAACGGAGCTGCTGAAGTCAGGGAGGTGGGAGAGAGGGACAACAGGAAGCAGAGGTATCCTTAGATGGCGAAATGAGAGCTGATTCAGCACATATGTATTCAGTGTCAGGCATCTCCTAGGGCTTGGGATATGTATTCTTGTTGATCTTCACAACCATACGAAATAGTTTTTGTTTTTGTTTTTTTAATTGCCCTTTTATAGATGTAGATGCGAAGGATCAGGACAGTGGAGGGATTTTCCCAAAATTGTTCAGTGACTACGAGTCAAGCAAGGATCCCTATCCAGGCCTCCTGGTTCCCATGATGGTACCCTCCCCACTTGAACTCAGTTACTGGATTTAGACTTGGCTCTGCCATCGGTGTCCCCACTTGGACCAGGGGATTTCCTTCTCTGTCTCTTCCAATTCTAAAATTCTCTGCTTCTCCTAGAGATACTGAGGTTGTGGAACATACTTTAGATTGGAAGGCACGGCCTCCACCAAGACATGATGACTGGGAAGTAATTGTCCTGAGCAGGGGACAGCAAGTAGTCCTAAGCAGAAGGACAGGCACGGCATAGAAGGAGCATCTGTAAGAATGCTTCCTGTTCTTGTGAACGCTGTACGATTTTAACTTGAGGGAACAGAGTTGTGCTCGTCATGCGTATAGTGAAAGGGTCAGTAAGAGATGGAGAAATGATTCGTTCATTCATTTGATGGCTCAGGCCCTGAGAAAACAAGAAAGAACAAGACTGATGTGGTTCCTGCCTTACTGAGGGAGAGAGGAGGAGAAATCTGTCGTTTGATTGATCTAAGTGAGGAGCCTATGCCAAGAACTGGGAGCTATATGGTTTTCGTCTGTTCCCTCATCCTTGATCACAACCTCAAGAGATGTTTGCATTCATTATTCCCATTTAACAAATGAATTAAGTGAGGCTTGGGGAAATCCTTGCATGCTCAAGGTCACAGGAGTAGGTGAGAGAGCTGGGGCTTAATACTTTAATCTTCCCCTTTCCAATTATTGCAAAATTGCAGGACAGAGAGAGAGGGAGGGAGGGAGGGAAGGACAGAAAGGAGGGAGGGAAGGCAGACAGGCCAAGAAGCAGAGAGAAGAGTTCGATACAGAGAATGAGTCCACAAGCTAGGAGACCAAAGATGTTCTCAGGGATGGTGTGAGCACTTGGAGACCCTGCCTAGGCAGGAGGCGAATGAGGTCATTAAACCCATCTGCGCAGATGGGGGACCCTCTGGGAAAAGTTATATGCAAATATCATGATGCAATGAGGTGAAATCTGAAATCCGCTTGCGTTAGCTCAGGCTGGGGCTCAAGCAGGGACTGCAGTGTGCTCTTTGGAAAGGTCATCCATCGGCTGTGTGGAGAAGACATTTGTTCTTTCAGTTTCTAGAAAGGAAAGCCAGCTCAAGGTCACAGAGCATGTGAAGGGATGGATGGGGACCAAAATTCAGGCTTCTTCCCCCACTGTTTTTTTTTCCCCCCCTTTGGAGAGAGAGAGCGAGAGAGAGTGTGCACTTGAGGAGGGGGGAGGGGCAGAGGAGAAGCTCAGACTCCATGCCCAGCACAGAGCCCTACGTGGGGCTGGGCCCCCAAGACCTGAGATCATGACCTTAGCGGGAATCAAGATTCAGATGCTCAACTGACTGAGCCACCCAGGTGCCCTTCCCCACTGAAAAAAGTGTGTGTGTGTGTTTTTAATTTTTCCCCAGCTTTCATAACATATGTGGATAGCAAACCACGTTGCACACCTCTCACTCTTTCTTACTCAAAATCTGCTCCTGAGAGCCTTCAAACCAAACCATAGGCAAAATCTCTAGGTGAATTGTCCCCCACCCAGAGCTCAGGCTCCTGGAAAGCAGTCTGAGCTTGCTGGGACCTGCTCTTGTTGTTTTCACCCTTGCCTCCCCAAATAAAAAATCCCAGCACCCGTCTGTCTTTCCTAAAAGACACTTTCATATACCTTCTTTCACTTGACCACCCCAACGGCCCTGGAAGTTAAGTATTCCGTTGTGCCGATCTCACCAACCAGCTCTGGCACAGCTCATTACAATTCTTCACCCATGAGTTCCTTCAGCCCTTAGAGTTCCCAGGGTTAGGTAGGGCTGATAGATACTGGTCCTACAGCTGGGAACCTGGGGCTCAGGAGTAAGTTGTCTATACTAAATACCATGTCTGTCACCTGTTACTTTGGGCAACTGCCTGCCCCTTTCAGAGAGCCTCAGTTTCCCTGTCTGTAAAAGGTGATTGTTTTAGTACCTATCTTAGAGAGTTGACTGACCCATCATAAATGCCCTTGAAAATGAAAGTTGCTGTTCTAATGAGTTTGATAAAAGTTATAACAGGGCTAGCCAGAAGCAGAGGTAGGACTTGAACTTCAATCTGTTGCCCACCCCCACCCCCTAGTCCAGTCACTGTCCTGCTCTGCACTGCTTCTCTGAAAATTACTATATCAGACCCCACCCTCTGGCTCACCTCTTTTTTCTTTGTCTCTGCAGGTCACCCCCTTCCCTATGTCCTGTGACCTACAAGGTGACTGTGCTTGTCGGGACCCCCAGGCCCAAGAACACAGCCGGAAAGACCTCCGGGGGTACAGCCATGGCTAAGGAAGGACAAGGAGTTGACAAAGAATTCCCAGCGCCAGGACCCGCATCCCTTTGGTATTGATTTCACAGTCAGCTGCTCAACGGAATGGCCTCCCCACACCAGGGATCCTTAGCACCCAACCGGTCTGCCTTTAATTTCACCCAGGAAGGACTCATAGTAGGGGCGCATGAACCAAGTCTCGCCATGTTGGATGATGAAATGGAATCCCATCCCAAAGTCTTAGAAGGATTGCATATACAAGTGTGCAGTCCCAGAGCCTACAATTCTCATCATTTGTCACACAACCACAGCAAGAAACATGTTCTATATTTAGGAGTGTGCACATATGTGGTTAGTACACACGCATGCATCCGCACCCAAACAAACATCTGCATGAGGGCAGTTTGGGAGACTGAGCAGAGAGATACTGGAACATACTCAGTCTTTCCTTTCCCAAGCTTCTAGCCAATACTGTCCTTGGGAGAAGGAGAGTTGCAGAAACTGCCAAGGCCAAGTGTTGAGATGTCAAGATAGCTTGCACTCGGAGGCTTGGAACATGTAGGGCATGCACAACAGTGCAGTCCTTTGGGATTAGAAGTGAAATGGTCTCTGACCACCTACCTTCTAGGGAAGTAGAACCCAGGATGAGGTAAAGAATCCAAGGTACGAAAAGCCCCCCAATTCTGCTGCCATGGGGGATTTTACCCCAACTCCAGGGTTTGAGGCCAAGCTGGAAATGGCATAGGGTTGCAGTGTCAAGGTATTATAACAGCCCCCTGCTTGAGGCCATAATACCCCTCCAGAACCTACCCATTCCCCCAGTCTTGCCTTGGGACCACATTCGCTGCTACTTTTCCTGCTGCTCTATCCTATACATTGAGTACCCCCAAGATGGTAGGACCAGGTTAGGAAAAACCCCACACAACCAAACAGTCTGCCTTAAAAGTGACCCACATTTTCCCACAGCTCCTCACTTCTTAGCCCTTCTGCAAGAGATAAATCCTCATTGGCCCACATGGTGAGAAGTTAAATCCCCCATGGGTGGGCTTCTCATCCTGAAAGGGAGTAGAGGGACTGGAGATGCTGAAACCCTCACTGAGAGTCCAGAATGTCTGAGCCAGTGTTAGATTTTATAATCCAAGTGGACCAGTGTTAAATGTCTATGATGTTGGGGCCACCCAGAGACTGCCGGGATAGTGCAGACTCTTGAGTTACTATTTTTATCCAAGCTTCCCTGGCCCTCCGGGTTAGATCAGGCTTTGGTGCTGAGGACCTCACTGTGGCCCTGAGAAGCTATAATTCTAGAACAGAGAATCATCTTGGGTAGAATCCATCTAAACTGTGTTCTCAAGGGCTGTCAGAGGAAAGCCCAAGAGTTCACAGACTCAGTCCCCACCAACCCAATATGGTCATCATCTTCCAGCTACCAGGACACCCATCCAGACCTGTGGTTGGTGAATCCGTCTCTCCTTCCCATGTTTAGCCTCTGAAAGTTGAGAGGAAGGTAGTCCAGTACACATGGAAGTCCCTACCTCACTGGGGTCCTCTTTGCCTGTTCCACCAGTTACTGTCCACTCCTTTCAAATTAATATGGGAAGAAATTAATACAGAATGAGGTAGCAAGAATGGTCAAGCTGGACATAATCTCTGAGACCTGGAACTGAGACAGTGAGGCAATGGGAGGGTATCACACAAAGACTGCTGTAAATCAAGTCATCTCAAATCTCGTGAAAACAATCAACAAAAACAAAGTCTAGCATAGGACTGGGAAACCCCAGGCATACGTGCTGACCCTCCTCATTCCTGTACATGAGGCAGATGCTGTTCGTCAGTCATAGTCCTTTTCCCTATGGGGACCAAAAATAATTTCAGGAACCTTCTTACAATACTCCCAACAGCTGCTGACCAAGAACACTTGAGAAGCCAACATACCAAGGTGCTTTTCGCATAGGTGCCCACAGATTAGGATGTAGGGCTTAGATTTGCATGGCTCGTACCTTATTCCAAACCCTGAGACTGGGTTCCAGAATGGAGGGGCTGCCACCATGGTTAAGGACAGGCTCAAATCCTTTATGTTTCTTTTACACACTCATATCTCATGTATATCCAGAGCATTTTCTTGTAGTTGCGAGGGCCAATCTTAGCAAAATAATCATAAAAAATGGAAGAACTGATTCCATTTTGTACTCCTTCCAGTACCTTAGAAATCTTGCCAACTAGTAATGCCCCTCTCTTGCCCTAGCTGAGTTACCAACGTGTGTGGTTAGCTGACAAGACACGAACTGAGAAAGGTAACTGTGTGGGCCCTCCCAGTTGCTCTATCACAAGAATAAGTAGCACAAAACCCTTGGAGACCCAAAGATGCCATCGCTGATAATAGGGTTGCAGGAACCATAGAAAAACCTCACCATCTTCCCTTCAATTGACCTGACCCTCATCCTCCTTCTTCCTTCTCCCTCACACGGTCTGTGCCCACACTCTCCAGCTGAGCAAAGCTTCCTAGAGGCTGACTTCCATCTTCCGACTCACGGACTGAGTCAAGTAAGGAGCCACCCAGTCTCCTCCTGACCATCATTCAAACCTGTTACTCATAAATTCATATTTGCCAAGGGATATTAGTCAAGACAGGCTACTTGATGAATGGCCAGCCTCATGCCCACAGGGAAGGCCCTTCTCAAAACTTAGTGAAAGAGACTTCGTTCTATTCATGCAATGCATTGATTTCTGGCTTCCTTTTCATTCTGGGAATAAATTCACTGTCTTATCACTTCAATTATCTCCTGTTTAGGATCATGGAGTACTCACAAGGAGGCAGGTTGACCTGTTGTCTATCAGCAGCTCAGGGGCCCTAAAGCAGATGAGGGTTCTGGGTCTGCAGAAGTATTAGCCTGTTGGCAGCAAGAAAGAAAAGAGGAGGAAGACGGTTCTCTGAACCCTGTTTTGGGGAGCCTTTCCAAGCCACAACCCTAACTGCATGCCCAGAGGACTTGTACTACCCCCATATTCTGTGCCAACCACCTCTTAAGGGAAGGCAGTCCCTGGGAAGTCCATTTTGATGGCTGAATTAGGGTGTTAAAAAAAGGAGTGATGGATGGTCATAAAGAGCAGGGCTGTGAAGACGGAGGGTATCAGCTGCTATTCCTGCCTTCAGCATGTTGAGTTACTGCCTAGACAGTTCTCTTGGTCTTTTTCCCACCTTGGCCCATGCTTAAATGCTATTTGTTGAAAATAATTCTTTGAGACAGATTTCAGCTACCTCCCTTCCAGGTTCAGTTTAACTTGGTTGTAACTGTCAATTTGTGATAGGTCTTACCTGTGTTTTAAAAAGAAAAAGAAAGAAAGAAAGAAAAAGACAGGAAGGAGGAAAGGAAGAAAGAAAACCATAAATCCAAGTTAACCATTTTAGGGGTTTCTGTGTTTTGTGTGTGTGTGTGTTTGTTGTTTGTTTGTTTTCTGGAACTACTTCAAGTGGGAACATAAAAAGGAGAAATTAATGGTAACAAAGCTGTACAGATAGAGATTGATAGAAGACAAAGAGATGAAAAGGAAATAGAAATGCATGATTTAAAATAAGAATTAAAATATATATATATATTTTTGTGCTTCCTAAAGGGAACTCTTTATTCTACAGGCTGAGTAGGTAGACACAGCACCAAAATTTCCCTAGCAGGCGAGATAAAGCAGGATTTTATAATGCTGGTATTTTCTGTACGTTGTGGTAGAGTCCAGGAAATAAGGCATCCTCTCCCTTGATACGTAGTTGTGGTTTGGGGAGCATTTTGTCTATATGTTTGGTGGCAATCCGTGGTAGTCGGGTGTGGGGAGGGCTTGAAATCAGTTTTACCTGATATGAAGGGGACATAGTGTGTTGTGCTTTTCACGTTATAAAATGTTTGTATTTACCAGTAGGGCACTGGGCTTTCTAAAGACTGCACTTAGAATCACACTGCACGGTCCACTTTCCTAAAAAGCTGCTACATGACCAGACAGGTAATCCCCCTGGTTTTTGAGAAATGACACAAAAACAAACCAAGCAAAACAGCAACCATAAAAACTAAAGAACCAAGGAATAAAAGCCTATTCTTTTAACTTATTCAAGTTTTGCCAAATTCCTACCGATCGTTTGAACTTTCAAAGAATTGTAAAGACAGCCAAGAGAGGAGTTAGGTCTCTAGGGAAAGAACCTGGAATTCTTGATGCCAGGCTGCAGTTGGCTAGTGATCTTGAACAAGTCAACAAAGAGCGTCTCCATTTGCCTCAGTTTCTCCAGCTGCAAAATGGGGATGATATTACTTACCTACCTCACAGTGGGATGGCGGGGGACGGTGAGGCCCTGAAGTTCTAAAGGGGCTGTGGCAATCTGTGAGAGACACAAAGTCTGTGGGTTACTTTTCAGGAATGCACGGGCCCAGTGGCCATTTACGAAAGACACGGAGTGCTCATTTGCTATTTCAAGGAATAAAGCTGGAATTCCTGGATTTTATAATCCATTTTAAGAGAGAGGTTTGTGTTTGGGAATATTTCACTCATAGGCAAATTGGATTTTCTCCCCCCTATTCTGGCCTTTACCAGTTCCTGAATTTGCTTAAAAGCCAATTACATCTTCCAGTGTAAAAGTCAGTTTACTGTGTGGTCTATTCAAGACTTATGGGCCATTTCCAACCTCATAGAGGAAGGGAGTCACTAAAATCCCTCCTCCTTCTCAGACTTAAAATTCCACATCAAGTGTTCCATTAAAAGAAGATATGGCATTCTGAGTGCAAACAACTCGGGGCTTCTTAAACCAATACACCAGCAGTCAGTGAGGAGAATTTTGAACAATTCTTGAGTTGCTTTCTTGGGTCTCTATAATCAATAACCTGTCCGCAGATATCTATCTATATAAAGATATTATATATAAATATAAATTTACATATATATGCACATGTATATATAGTTGTACATATATGTGTGTATATATATACTTAAATGTAATATTTACAAAATAAAACTGTGATCTCGTCTAGAGAAAATGTATTCATATTACAAACTGCTCTTCCATATTTATGTATCATATTATGCCTTTTTATTATTGTTATAATTATTATGGGTATTTCTAATTATTATGATGTTGAAATCTGTTTGGCACCTTCTGGAAACAACCAAAAAAAAAAATGACTCTCTATTGAAGTGCTTAAAATCTGTTCTCATGAGAATTCTACTGGCCTACTACTATTAAAAAAAAAAAAAAGAAAAAAATTTAAACACCAAAAACAAAACACGATTCCAATCCTTTTTCTGTACCTCACGCGCATAAATTTGCTGCTCCTATTTTGGGTTTTTTTTTTTTTCCTGTTTATGTGTTTTTATGGATCTAAGTTAAGTCTTTCAGCAATATATAAAATTGTAAATAGTAAACTTTATTTATTAAGAATGTCATCTTTTTTAATTTATATTTACACAATTGTTCATCTAATTTATTTTTTCTATACAGTTTTAAATACTCAGACATATTTTGCTGTTCGTGATATTTTTATCCTGTTCTTGTGGATTTGTTTTTCCATACTGTTTTCTCTGGTCTCAATTACAGGTTGGATCTCACAAAAAAAAAAAAAAAAAATGATGTCAAAGACAAATATTTTGCCACTGTTGATTACTATACCTTAAAATTCTATATTATGAAAATATATAATAGCTTGTATGCTTCAATATGTAGCAGTGTGGTTTCTGTCTGTTGGGGAAATTGACTTTCCTATGGACACACTCATACAGAGAGAATCCCCGGGCCTCGAATGAGATCAATGGTAGAGTGAGGTTGAATTCAACATATACCCAATCTTCTACACAAATAATTCCTGAAAAACATCTATCTTTGCATATGCAAAAACTGCAAAATATTCTCACATGTTAAAAAAAAAAGTTCTATCTTCAGGGAACTGAAACAAATATCACTACCAGCTTTATCTAGCTTTTTGCATGATGTCTTCAACAGTGTACTTCCAACATATTCTTTACTTTCATTTTTTTTCCTTGATAATTGAACTCTTAGTCATCCAGTCCATCCAATGAACCCGCAGCTCAAGTAGAAGTTTTGTTGTTTTTGATCTGCCTACTGGATCTCGTTTTTCATCTTATCACCATTTAGTAGCCATATGATCTTTGGAAAGTTATTCAATTGCTTTAAGATCTAGTTTTCCCGTCTGTAAAGTGGAAATAATAAAAGGACCCATCTCATGCTGTTGTTGATGATAGAATTAAATGAAATAAATATGTAATGTTTTTAGAACTACAGCAGACAGAGTATATTAACTCTTGTTATGATGATGATGAGACGGGGGTTGCTCATGACAACTATTTGTAATACACAATTTTTTTTTAGATCTCTTTATTTTTTTAAGAAAATAAAACCAACATGCATCAAAGCAGTCAGGCACTCATGCATGCATGGCCATGGAGTAAAGAACTCCCCAAACACTGACCTGTTGGCCGGTCAAAATATGTATTGATCTGCTGGTACTTCAAAATTTTGAATCTGCACAAAAGGGCAGTTTGGGGACATAAAGGTGAATTATATGAAAGGATACGAGTAGAAACGTCAAGAACTACCCCTAGTAGGTTTTCTGGATTCTCTGCACACAGTCCATTGAGAGACAGGAGGGAAGGCACCAAAGAGTAAAATCAAAGTTATTGCTAAATGCTACCAGACAAATGGTTATTTCCAAAGAGAACTAATGATTAAAGAGAACATTTTCCTCAGTTCTTTTCAATTCACCATGAAGACTGAAATAAGAATTAAAGAATCATTTCATGAAAAGAGGCAAATATTTCCCAAAGAGAGAAGAGAGAAAAAGTCTTCATATAGCTTTTTGGACTCCTTAGATTTGTCTGCAGAGATGAAGTCATGCGGCAGAGATTTCTCTTGGTAGACAGAAGATAGGAATTCTAGTGTCCTCTCTCCTCCTCTAACCCTAACACACATACACAGAGTAATGGAGACAGTTCACTGGGTTTTAGTTGCTTCATCTGTCAAATGGGAAAATGACTCCTTTCTCACTTCAAAACAGACAGGGACATTCAGCATTTACATCCTTTTATATTAACCCAATCAAGAAATAGGCAGAAGACATGAACCGACATTTCTGCAAGGAAAAAATCCAAATGGCCAATAGACACATGAAAAAGTGCTCAACATCACTCGGCATCAGGGAAATACAAATCAAAACCACAATGAGATACCACCTCACAGCAGTCAGAATGGCTAAAATTAAAGAGTCAGGAAATGACAGGTGTTGGCGGGGAACCCTCCCACACTGTTGGTGGGAAGGCAAGCTGGTGCAGCTACTCTGGAAAACAGTATGGAGGTTCCTCAAAAACTTGAAAATAGAGCTACCCTAAGACCCAGCAGTTGCACCACTGGGTATTAACCCCAAAGA